TCCAAGTCTTTGCACATTTCATTATTGTAATTGGCTTTGTCTGCTCAAGCTGCTCTTTGAAATCTTCTGTTCAGCTCTTTTATCTTGTCATTTCTTCCACTGGCTTTAGCTACTCTCCACTCAAGGGCAAGTTTCAGAGTCTCTTCTGTCATCCATTTTGGTCTTCTCTTTTTTTCTTGTCTTTTTAGTGACCTCTTGCTTTCTTCATGGATGATGTTCTTGATGTCATCCCACAATTCTTCTGGTTTTCAGTCACTGGTGCTCAATGCATCAAATCTATTTTTTAGAGGGTTTCTAAATTCAGGAGGGATATATTCAATATCATATTTTAGCTCTCGTGGACTTGTTTTAATGGCCATTCTTGCTTCCAAGGAGCAACTTTAACTTCAAGTTGAACTTGCATGAGCAGGTGATGGTCTGTTCCACAATCAGCTCCTGGCCTGGTTTTGGCTGAAGATATTGAGCTTTTCCATCACCCCTTACCACAGATGTAGTCAATCTGATTCCTATGTATTCCATCTGGTGAAGTCCACATGTATAATTGCCATTGTGTTGTTGAAAAAAGGTATTTGCAATGAATAAGTCATTGGTCTCACAAAATTCTGTCATGTGATTTCCAGCATCACTTCTATCACCAAGGTCAAATTTTCCAACTACCGGTGCTTCTTCTGTTTCCAACTTTTGCATTCCAGTCACCACTGATAATTAACACATCTGGATTGCAAGTTCAGTCAATTTCAGACTGCAGAAGCTTATAAAAATCTTCAATTTCCTCATCTTTGGCTTTGGTAGTTGGTGTATAAATTTGAATAATAGTCATATTAACTGGTCTTCCTTGTAGGCGTATGGATATTATCCTATCACTGACAGCATTGTACTTCAGGACAGATCTTGAAACATCCTTTGTGATGATGAACACCATGCCATTCCTCTTCAAATTGTCATTCTTGGCATAGTAGACCACATGGTAGTCTGATTCAAAATGGCCAAAACTAGTCCATTTCAGCTCACTAATGCCTAGGGTATTAATCTTTATGCACCCCATTTCACTTTTGACAACCTCCAAATTTCCTAGATTCATGTTTCATACGTTCCATGTTCCAATTATTAATGGATGTTTGCAGCTGTTTATCCTCAGTTTGAGTCATGCCACATCAGCAAATGGAGGTCTCGAAAGCTTTACCTTATCCACATCATTAGGGCTGGTTCTACTCTGATGATGCAGCTCTTTTCTGGTGCTATTTTGATAGCCTTCCAACCTAAGTGGCTTATCCTTCTGTACTATATTGGACAATGTTTCCAGGTTACTCATAAAGTTGCATAGTAATATATCAGACAGGGTTTCTCTGCTATTCATAAAGTTTTCCCTAGCCAATTCTTTGAGAAATGGATAGCCTCCTCCTTCTTTCTAGTCTGTCTCAGTCTGCAAGCTGTTGAAACCTGTGCACCACGTGCAACCCTACCGGGTTTGAGACACCAGTGGCACAGCCTCAAGCCTCACAGCAACATGCCACCACAGTATGACAAACTGACAGACAAGCTTGTCTCCCTTAGCTGTTCAAAACCTCTCCACCCTCCCCACCCTCCCCTTACACAGATTCCCCTTACATCTTTCCTGTCACTTGGGAGGGGTATGGCCTGGGTCCCCTGCCTTACCTGGATCCCTGCCTCTACTTCCTCACTCTGTCCTGGTCTCCACCCCCCCACCCCTGGCTTTTTCTCGGCTTTCCCTGGGTTTCCTGATGCTTGGGAGGGCCGTGGCCTGGGTCCCTGGCCTTACCTGGATCCCTTCTTCTAGTTTTAGCACCATGTTAATTGTTTGTGCCACCCAGGGACTCCTGGCTATTGAATACAGTTTATCAAGGAAGAAATTAAAATATTCATAACATACTCTTGTATACAGTTTGGGGGACTAATGGAATAATTTTATATGGGGAGGAAATGAGATCCCTAAGGATTCTTAGAATATGAAGCATTTTAGCTCTCATAGATTTCTGCCTCACCCTGGGTCACTTTGGCCTTATGGGCTGTCAAAAATGTTGCTTTGAATTTATTTATTTATTGTGTTATTTAGTCTTTTTCACTTATTTCAGTGTATATGTTCTATCTCTTTATTTGACTGCAAATAGCACTACACAATTACACCATGCCTTTTTTTCTTTCATACAGAATGTGTTTAATATTGTGCCTCTCACAATAGTATTTAATAAACAATTTTCTAATAAACTCTTGACTACTAATTTTTGTGTGGTCTGCTAACATATGAAAAGTAGTAACACAGTGCCAGGTGTATGACAGGCACTCAATGAATATTAAACAATAAAAAAAGAAAGAATGATATATATAAAAAAGTAGGTGAAACAATTATGCTTATTTCCTTCAGTGAAACACATTAATTAAATTGTAATTAAACAAAAAGGACAGCTTCATTGGTCAAGTTCTTGAATAAAGTCCAATGTTGTGTCACTGACTGGAGGACTCCCAACCCAAGGTGCTCTTGAAGTCTTTGGGTGAGTTACCAGATGGAGGAGATAAGGCTTACTTCTGCCTGATAGCTATACCCAGGAAGGAGATAGGTAGAACTTAAAAAAAAAAAAAAAAAAAAAAAGCTGAAATGCAGCAAAAGTAGTGCTATATCCTAGAGGAAGGGTCTCCTGGGTGTAAAATGCTTTTCCAGGCAGTGTATTCTGTCAAATGTTGTCAATCCGTTCACCCATTCCTTTCTCTCTCTGTGCACATGCTTGCATGCATGCACATACATACACATGTGCATTCCTGGGCAGTGTTTGGAGGAAAAAGTTAGGAAAGAGAGCAGGATGCTAGGAGTGTATAAGGAGGAAGGGAATACTGGTGACTCTGAATGTTGACTTCATATGTGGGGAAGCTAGAGAAGGCACAGAGAAATTCCTTCCCTTACAGATTAGACTTAAATGTGAAGAGTCTTTAGACAAAACACAGCACTAGTTATCCTCTTTCCTGGTATTCACTGAATATTTTTAAAGGCAAATGATCTAGACAAAAAAGCAAGTGGCTTGCTTTGCAGGTACATTTTCCCATGGGACCAAAGAAGAGTTCTGCCCTGCTTCTGTTTTCAGCATGGAGTCTCCTAACCCTCACCTTCCTCCTGGCATTGACAGTAACATTGAGAATACATTTGTGGCTGTTTTTTTTTCTCCCCATTACATATCTGTAGCTGGGTGGGAACTATATAGAATGTAAAAAGGGCACAGTTCCTCTCTAAGCATCAGGGATACACCTGTGCACAGAAACGTCTAAATCTAACTAAAAAATAGATTTCAGAAACAATCATGAAGAATTTCAAACTTTCTAGACTTTAGTTATACATCCTTTTCTTCTTCTTTTTTTTAAAAAAAGCAAGCAAGCAACCAACAAAAACTTCACATACAGTACATTAAAAAAATACTTAACTATTAAATAATAAATTTATTTTCCATACAAGCAATTAGAAGATGAAAATCTAAACACAAGTGAATGTATAGCAATGTCAGATAATTAATAAATCCTTATGGAATGTACAAGTAATCTTAAATTTTGTTTTTTTGTTACACAAGAAGCAATTTAGGAATACCATTACATGATTTCAATTTATCTCAATAAACAATTTAAAACTTTAATGTGTGACAGCTTTTTATTTTGACATGTTACTGGTGGTAGCTAGATTTTATCATTCCAAGAGTCCTCATGTCAAAGCCCAGTCATGGTTGTGTTGGAAATTATTTTACCTGTTTGCAATGGTTACAAGTCCAGGAGGACAGTAATAACCACTGGAAGCATGGTCAAAACTTCGAAGGACTGTGTCGATTTTGTAACAGAATTTACCATGTCTCTCCCATCCCTTAAAAAAGGAAAAAGTAAATTAAGGAATTAGTTAAATAGCAAAATGACTTTTCCCCCCCCCATATTCTCATTTACCACTTAAATAACCTTCTTCTCTGACCCACTCAAACTCTTTGGATTTTTGTCTTGATATCTTTATATTTATTTTATCTGGTGATGCCATTATCTATAGTTGCTTCTATATTTATTTAACTAATTAAAACTATTAAAAGCAAATGAAAGCACATACATACATCAGACTCATAGAATTTCATACAAATGGTCTCTACAAGAGGTGTTGTTGTTGTTAGGTGCTGTTGAGTCTGCTCCAACTCATAGTGACCCTATGTACAACACAACAAAATACTGTCCAGTTGTGTGCCCTCCTCACAATCTTTGCTGTCCTTGAGCTCATTGCTGCAGCCACCGTGTCATCCATCTTGTTCAAGGGCTTCCCCTTTTTTGCTGACCCTCCACTGTATCAAGCATGATATCTTTCTCCAGGGAATGGTCCCTTTTGATAACATGATCAAAGTAGGTGAGACAAAGTCTGGCCATTCTCGGTTCTAAGGAGTATTCCAGTTGCACTTCTTCCAGATTTGTTCATTTTTCTAGCAGTTCACAGTATTTTCAGTTTTCTTCACTAACACCATCATTCAAAGACATCAGCTGTTGTTCAGTCTTCCTTATTCGTTGTCCAGCTTTCACATGCATATGAGATGACTAAAAATACCATGGTTTGGGTTAGATGCACCTTAGTCTTCACAGTGAAATCTTTGCTTCTTAACACTTTAAAGAGGTCTCTTGAAGCAAATTTGCCCAGTGTGATAGTTAAGTTTGTGTGTCAACTTGGCTGGGCCTGGTTGAGTGGCTGGGCAGCTGGATGTTGTTACTCCCCATGGTAAGAATGGTAATTAACCCCATGGCTGAATGTATTGGAGCAGCTGAGTAGCTGCTTTAGGGATGTGGTTTGCTTCCCGTATATAAGCAGCAGCTTTGGGAATGGTCTCTAGCTTATGGCACATTTGAATCCTGCATGTGCCCATGTCATTGTTCAGCAGCAGCCTGCAATGCTCTGCTGACCTTGGGACTTTCCATGGACTTGAATTAATGGCCTGCCATGTGGTTTGCTAACAGTGGGACTGTACTTTTTTACTTCTCAACCTTGGGCTTGTCAGCCTCAGCAGCCAGCAGCTGTCTGAGTGAAGAAAAGCCTCTAGCTTTAGTGGGCCAGGAGCAGGAGGCAGAGCTAAAGCCCAAAGTTGAGGGGCTTTCACCCAGCTCTTAGAGCCTGGCACTTTGAACTCAGACTTAAAGCCTCCAAACTGTAAGAGAATAAACTCGTGCTTGTTAAGGCCATCCCATTGTGGTACATTCCTGTCAGAGTGGTACTAAGTAACCAGAACACTCAGTGCAATATGATGTCTGATTTCTTGACTGCTGGTTCCTGGGTGTTTATTGTGGATACAAGTAAAATGAAATCCCTGACAACTTCAATCTTCTCCCCCTGCCTTTTTTTTTAATCATGATGTTGCTTATTGGTCCAGTTGTGAGGATTTTTGTTTTCTTTATGTGGAGGTGTAATCCATACTGAAGACTGTAGTCTTTGATCTTCACCAGTAAGTGCTACAAGTCATCTTCACTTTCAGCAAGCAAGGTCATGTCATCTGCATATTTACAAGAAGTAGAAACTAAAAATATTGCATCTCAAGTCAGAATGTCTGGGTTGGGATCTTAGCCCCATCACTATGTGCATCTTAATTTTCTCTTCTGTGAAATAGGGGTAATAGTATCCATGGAGTTGTTTTGAGAATCAAAGGGAGACAATGCAGGCACAGACCTTAGAAAAGAGACAGGGCTTAGTAAATGTTAAATTACTGATACCTATTATGATTATGAAGGAACCCTGGTAGGACAGTGGTTAAACACCTGGCTGCTAACCAAAAGGTCGGCAGTTCAAACCCACCACTCAATCCATGTGAGAAACATGTGGCAGTCTGCTTCTATAAAGATTATAGCCTTGGAAACTCTAGAAGGCAATTCTTCTCCTACAGGGTTGCTATGAGTTGGAATCAACTCGCTGACACTGGGTTGGTTTATTATTATTAATGTAATTATGAAGTATGTAAACTGACCAAAGAGGACATGTGCATCTAGATAACACTGTATGCTTTTCACTCTCCTTTTCTATTGATTACCTCATGTTATCTCTCTGAGATTTGTTGAGATCCAAACCAAACCAAACTCACTGCCATTGAGTTGGATCCGACTCATAGCAACCCCTCCTTGGGTTTCTGAGACAGTATCACTCTGGAAGTAGATTGCCCAGTCTTCTGTTGTTGAGATTAGGGACTTAGATAACATCACAGACTAGAATCAGCTGGACCTGAAGCTGAATTCTGGTGCAGTCCAAGATGGTCTCAGCCGGATTATAATGCTTCCAAATAGAGAATAGCCAAAACATATTTTGTTGTAAAGATTATTCCTAAGTTAACTGGCTGGCCTTTTAGAGGGAAAGAAAGCAAACCTTGGCACTCAGATAAAAATGCAGAACATGTAGCGGCATGGTCAGCCCTGGGAGCTATGAAGGGGACTCTATTAATTAAAACCATATGGCACAGGACATATATACTCATCAATCTTCTATATATCAACTGAGTTATTTCAATTCTTACATTATTACAAAATCACATCACTTTTATGCATCTATTTTTACTTATTCACCAGTTTTAAAATACCCTACCCTTTGTGTCATGCCAACCCTTGCCAGCTTTTGATCAGATATAAAATGATTTATGGTATATTCCTTGGAAAAGGTCCTGGTTTTGCAATAAAATAAAGAAAAGTTTATTTTAGAAATCATCTATTTTAATTCAAAGCATATTACTAAATGAGGTGTGAGTCATAGGTACTCCTACACACAGCTGACCAGGGTCTCCTGCTCTGAACTCATTCTCTTTCAATTTAACCTGAACGTTATCTGTGTAAAGTAATTGAAAGCTCCAAATAGAGCCCTTCTGAGGACCAACCTGTAACGGGGGCATGGAGGTTGTTAAGACTGCTTTTGTACTTGGAAGCACAGGCTGAGGAAGACCATATGACCTTCCTAACAAAACATTTCCTCTTCATTAGTGTTTTTAGATTATAGACTGCTTAGCAAAACAAACACAAATGAAAAAATGTAAGAACTGAACAGACTAAAAGAGGAAAAAAAAAAGAAGATGTGTTCCAGTAATAACCAGAAAATCTGGGACTCTTTACTATAAAACTTTTTCTACCCAATGAAAGTGGGAAGAATACTTGACTATAGTGGTTAATATCCTTTGCACTCTAGGTGCCATTTCATTTTCAAATGAAATTATGATAATGCCAATTATGAGCAGTTGCTTATATTGTCCAATCCTAAACAAGTCACCCGGAGGAAAATACTTTTTTTCCTTTGAAGTTATCAAGACTGAGAGAATAAATTGACTTTGCACGTGCAGTTTGTTTAGAGAACTGAATTGAAGCAAATGGCTAAAAGAGTAAAACTGGTAAAAACCATTTTCATAGATGGATGCATACTGAAATTAATGGGATTTTTACCATAATGCTAGAGAATCATCTCTGCCCTCAGAATCTTTAAATGCTGGTAATGGTGTTCTGAAAGGAAAGAGGAACCAAAAGTTTGAACATAGCATCAGTTCTGTTTCTGCTGTGTAAGAAGTAAATGGTCTTTTCTACGAAAATGAAACATGTTGAGTTGCTTTGAGAGCCATTATGAGAGCCATTATCACACACGCATGCACACACACACACACACAATCAACATCTCTGATCAGCTAGATATTAGGTAACTGATCAGCTATAATTAATTCAGGAATTATAATCATTAGATAAAATATATGGTGACATGTCAGTAATGGGACATGTATTGTCCATCTATACAGTATGAAGAGTCATTTGTATGTTTACACATTGATTAATGAATAACATGTAGTTTCTGGAACTATTTATGTTCCAGAATTATCTATATTAGAATTATTTATATTAGAAGAGAAAACATTTAACACAGAGTTGCATAAAAAACAAGTTTTGGAAAACTTTGAGACTCATAGAGTGTAAACATTCCCAATATTTAAATTCAAATTCATGTATGTGTGAGAGAGAATGTGCTGAGGACCCTGGTATGTCCTAGGTTTTTGCTTTACTGCAGAATACTGAACATATTCCAGGAAATTTAAAACAAATAAGCCTCTATATTTTAAGATTAAATGTAACCTATCAAATATTTTTTAAGTCCTTAAAATACCAAACTTAAATAATCTTTTATTATCCCTTTTCCAAATGATAAATATATTGCAAAAAGTAAATTCTTCTTCATTACTGAATCCTATTTAAACATCTAAGTCTAAGAAAGTAAAAAGTAAGGCAAGATTCTTGGTACAGAGATTCACTGTCTGACTCAAAAGAATACATGATTTTTCACTCTGACATCCTACTTCAAAATTATGAAAGCCATGTGTGAGACAGGGCATCATGGGACTGTCAGTGTTTGTACAGATGGTATAACTAACAGGATAACTTACACTTTTTATCTCAAAAGAAAGGTAGTTGTAGGTCAAAGTGGCTAGTAATAAAACTATTTTCCCAGAGATGTAAATCCTTCATAGCCTCTAGCTGGTAACTGTTGGTTTGTTCAAAGTAGCTCCCCCCAACACACTGAAAAAAACGCAGAAAGAAGGAGAGAGAGAGAGGAAAGAAGGGGAGGGAGGGAGGAAGGTGGGGAAGAGGATGGAAGGAAGGAAGAGACACAAGAAAGGAAGAAGAAAGGAAGAACGAGAAGAAAGAAAAAGAGAAAGGAGAGAAAAAAGGAAGAGAAGGTGCAGTAAGGAGGAAGAGAAGAGGGAAGAGAAGGGAGGTCAGGAGGGAGAGAGACTCACTTTAAACTGATGGTGGATAAATGATGCTAGTTATGAAAAGTTCTTGTAGATAAACTGCAAGGTTAAAAGCACTTACCTCTTGACAGCCTGATGAAGCATCAGAAAGAACATGGCCTGATTTTTCACAAATGTAAAAAAGTGTTTCTTCACAATTTTTAACTTTCCAAGATCCCTCCTAGAAGGAAAATTGTTACAAGATGAATGAATACACTCCATTATGGATGCCATGGGCAATACCAATTATTATGAGTAAAAATATGATTAATAATAAGTGTTTCTCAAAAAAGTTAAACATAAAAATTACCATATGACCTAGCAATTCCACTCCTAGGTATGTACCCAAGAGAAATGAAAACATATTCCACACAGAAACTATGTTTATAGAGCATTATTCACTATAGCCAAAAGCTGAACTCAGATGTCCATCAAGGAATGAATGGATACACATGTAACTTATGGCATATGCATACAATGGCATATTGTTGACCTACAAAAAGGAATAAAGTACTGACAGATGCTACAACTTGGATCAACTTCTAAAACAATATGCTGAATAAAGGAAGCCAGATACAAAAGGCCACATATTGTATGATTCCTTTTAGATAAAATATCCAGAATAAGCAAATCTGTAGAGACAAAAAGGGGATTAGTGAGTGTCAAAGGATAGGGAGTGGGTGGGGAATGATTGCTTAATGGGTACAAGGTGTTTTCCTGGAGTGAATAAAAAGTTTTGAAACTAGAAGGAAGTGGTAGTTACACAACACTGTGAATGCACAAAGTGCCACTGATTTGAACACTTTAAAACAGTTAATTGTATGTTACATGAATTTCACCTTAATAAAAGAAAAAACAAAGTATTTCAGGATGGGGTAATACCTGAGAACCCTGCATGTCATAGGAAAGGGATCATACTCTCTCTGGGTGGGAAGTCCCACTCTCTTGCAAGTGCCTGAACATATAGACAATTCTAAGATATGCAATCCTGGATTGGGTGGGTAGGAGGGGAGGAACAACTGGTACTTCTCGATCATCACATGCTAGGCATTGTTATTGTTGTTATTAGCCTTTAAGTCCTTTGCAGAGTAGAACTGTACTCTGTAGGGTTTTCAAGGTTGTGACCTTTTGGAAGCAGATCACCAGGCCTTTTCTCCAAGGTGCCTCTGGGTGGGTTTGAACCACCAACTTTTAGGCTAATAGTTGAGCACTTAACTGTTTATGTCACCCAGGGACTCCTTTATTGCTGCCATTAGAAAACACCTGAATGTCTTCTCCTGGTTCTACTGAAAGCTACTCTTAGATATTATATAATAAGATACAATAACTGCTAACAGAAGGAGTGTTTGTCTCCTAAAGGATTTTGAATTTTATCACAAATCAGAACTTTTGGCTAAAACTGTACAAGTCAAAGTTTAGATGTATCTCAGACATCCAGTATTTTAGGGAAATATGGAGCCCTTCCATCAACCTTACCAAACCAAACCAAACTCACAGCCATCAAGTTGGATCCGACTCATAGCAACCCCTCCTTGGGTTTCTGAGGCAGTATCACTACAGAAGGAGCTCTGGTGGCATAGTGCCTAAGGCATTTGACTGCTAACCAGAAGACTGGTGGTTCAAATCCACCAGCCACTCCTCAGAAGGAAGGTTGGGCAATCTACTTCTATAGTGATACTGTTTCGGAAATCCAAGGAGGAGTCACTGTGAGTTGGATCTGACTCAACAGCAATGCATTATCACTACAGATGCCTTTGTCTGTAATAGAACCTTTGTATCCCTCACCCTATGGAGTCTCCCATCAAACCACCCAGTTTATAGGATAGTTGGATGGATGAATGAATAAATAAATGAGGCAGTTTCCTAGGCTCTCAGTTAAAATTTCTGTATCATCCATGATTAGATAACTTGTTAATTATAATCATTATATTCATATTGAGTTCTACTTAATAGAAATAAATGTTAATTTTTAAGCATCTACTATTGAAGGTGTTACTGAGCTTCCAAAAAAGGCACTACAACACAACACACTTAAAACAGCGCTGGTTGGCATGTTTAATGAAATTAATGCCTTCCTTTACTCTCTTCAAAGCAGTCTTATTATCCAAATATTGATTCCTGTTCTATGAATGTGCTAGATAAAATACCCATGTCTGTCAAATAAAAAAGGAGAATGTCCATGGGAAATGAAGGTCATCTTATTTACATCAACACCAATGAACCAATAAAGGATAAAATACTATAATATAAACTGTGGTGTATTTCAGCTGGTCTTGACCCAGAAGGAGTCCCTGAGTGGTGCCAATGGTTTAGTGCTTGGCTACTAACTGGAAGGTTGGTGGTGCAAATTTACCCAGAGGAGCCTCAGAAGAAAAGCCTGGTGATCTACTTCCAAAAGATTGTAGACACTGAAAACCCTAAGGAGCACAGTTATACTCTCATACACATGGCATCACTATGAGTTAGAATGACAATGGCAACTGGTAGACCCATGAGAGACATCTAGGAAGGGTATTATTTCTCCCTCCTCAAATATGATTCTGATACACTGCCTTAGCACAATGAAATGTGTTATAAAAATAACTACTTAGAGATTTTTGATGTTTGGTCAGCACAACTATTTCATCAACTTACTTAAATAACATTTAATAAACTACTTCTCGACAGAACGTGATGTGGTGTCCCAGTGGCTGAAGAGGTGCCTACCAAATATCAGTAACCCCCTGCTCTCAGCAAGTCTATTAGTTCAGTAGTTCTATGATCAAGGAGACTAAGTCTGTTTAAAATGTACAATAAACCCTTTACACGGTTAGGGATTTTAAGTAATTCTGTATAGTTGCATGTTTTAGATAAATGAGTGACATGGCATAGGGATAATGGTGATGTTAAGACCATGTTCATGTGAAGAAAAGAATTAGGGTTTACATTGATTCACTATCTCAAAGAGGTCATATACACTGTTGAAATCTTTTTACGTTAATTGGGTAATGAAGTTTAAAAACCATCACTCTCTGGACTATTTTTCCAACCTCACTTCTTCCCCTCATCTCCACCTTGGTGGTTAATAGCACCACCATCCACCCAGATGCTCAAGCTAAAATCTACCTCTCACATACACCCCTATATCTCATCTAGCAGCAAATCCTATCATCCAAATGATCCATGAATCTGTCCAAGTCTTTCCATCTTCATGACCCTAATTCAGCCACTGGAGTGCCACCAAACTGGTTTCTTGCTTCCATTTTATCCTTCTCCAATCCATTCTCTATGTAGCAGTCCCAGATACTTCTTTTTTTCTTTCACAGTAACTTTCCAAGATGTAAATCAGATTATGCTATCCATCTCCTTAAAGCCCTTTGTTATTAGCTGTCATGGAGTCAGCCCTCAAATCATGGCGACCCCTTTCACACTGTCATCTATATGGGATTTTCATTGGATAATTTTCAGAAGTAGATTACCAGGCTTCTGTCTTAGTCTGGAAGCTCTACTGAAACCTATTCAGCATCACAGCAACACACAAGTCTCTAGCAACAGACGTGGTGACTGAGCAAGAGGTGCATTGGTTCAGAAGAGAGGTTGAGAATTCTAACACTGACCACCAACATCTCATTAAAGCCCTTTTCTTCTTTATATACTAAGGCTAATAACCCTGGCATTTTTTGCATCCTTCCTGCCCCATCTCAAATGACTTCATCATCATTCATACCCTCAGGCCACAATGGTTTCCTTTTTGATTAACAAACACAGCAGGCCTTTGGACCTTTGCACTTGCTGCTCCTCTGGCTGTAATGTTCTTTCCCCTGTTCATCAAGATCCTTCTCATTCTATTAAGTACAAGACGCTAGGAGTTGGAATCAACTTGATAGAAATGGGTTTTGGGGTTAAGATTGAGGCAGCCGAGGACTTCCAGTAAGATGGAGGAACAGGCAGACTAGCGCCACAGACCCTCTTCAACAAAGAAAAGAAAAACCAATTGACAGAGATACAGAAAATAATCCTGGAGCCCTGAGCTTTGAAAGGAACTTTACAGAAGTGGATTAGGCACCAACTAGTGGAAAAGCCTGAAGGAAAACAGTGAGTACAGAGATGGTCAGAGCTGTGGACTGTCAGCAACTCTGACAGGACCAACAGTTTGAATATTTCCAAGTGTTGTTGGGACCTGAGAATTGACCTAAAAATCAGCCCTGGTCACCAAGGGCTGCAGGGATGACTGCGCTGGTGGCCTATGACTAGGAAGGGGAGCAGCAAGGAAGTAGACTTTCTGCTGTCCGGAGGGCACAGCCATTTTGGATATTTAAAGTGACCGAGGGTGCAGCCATTTTGAATGTTTACAATGGTGGCCATTTTGGATATTTAAAGTGACTGAGGGCGCAGCAATTTTGAATCTTTACAAGTGGCATCATTTTCAATTTTAAACTGATAGCACTCTCATTTGGATTCCAGGGACTTAAGACTAGGCTCTGTTTGCCAAGGTCAGCAGGGACATATGAGAGGCTGACAACAGGAAAGGAGACAGGTGGTGAGTGTATAAGTGCTGTCAACTAGTGAATAGAGGAGCACAGTACCCTGCTTGCATAGATAACATACAAAACAAAACAAAGAAAATTAAAATCGTGGGCAAGTCACTCCAACATACAATCACTAATTAAATATAAACATAAAAACATCACAATGCCTCGGAGACAACAGAGCATCACAGTCCACACAAAGAAGCAAGATAAAGCAGGAGAAACAAGGGACCAGGATACAGACCCAAAACACATCCCTGAGGAGGATGCAGCATTGGAACTCCCTGATAAGGAATTCAAAAGAAGGATATTTAAGTATCTTCAACGAATTGAGAGGCAGATCAAAGAAAATACAGAGAAAACCCTAGAACAATTTCAAAAGACAATACAAGAACAAAATGACAAAATAAATGAAAAATTAGAAATGATGCAAAATCTATACAGAAATCCAGAAGATTAATACTAAGTTTTCAGAATAGATAAGACATTAAATGGGCAAAGGAGCAGAACTGAATCAATGGAAGACAGAATTAGGGAAGTTGAGGCAAATACCTGAACACTTCTTTGGAAAAGGATAAATCAGAAAAAAAGATCAAAACAAAATGAAAGCCTAAGTTTCATGTGGGACACCATCAAAAGAATAATCTATGTGTCATTGGAATTCCAGAATGGG